CTTGCGGTACTATCGCACTCATTTTGGACGGTCAAAATCACCGGCTGACAGACGGTCCAGGCGCTATGGAATTACTTAAACACTTAGTCGCCTGACTTGTTGCATGATGAAGCCTTTTTTGATGCTGCTGGTATGTCAATGCAAGGATATTAGGAAAAACAGCAAACGCCTGGTCTTGATAGCGCCAAAACAACAACAACAATAAGAAGCGACCAACGGCATGTGAGAAACCGGTGACGAAATTAAGATGTTTAGCTCTGTTGTAAGATGAGCGAAAAGGGTGCCTTGTACTTACATACTTTTGTTCTTTATTAGTACTACGAATGAAAAAGGGCTTCGCATGTCAAAGTTGTATTATCAATACTACTCCATTTTTTTGGCTCATGACGTGGGTCGCGGAGCTACACAACTCCTTAAGTCAGAGGAAAACTTAACGCTTTACGAACAACTTAGTTCTAAAGAACTAACGACTTTACGAGTCAACAAGCTTTACAGCTTCAGATCCCTGTTCCAGGGGACCTAACGATTCAGTGAATCGACTGCACTGAGTGCTCAAGAGTAGCTACCTCAAGGAATTGTTGCTAACTCTTAGTGATCAGTGATCAACGATCAAGACGGCTCGCAAGCCACGTGTCCTTTAGATCAAAATGGGAACTGGTTTTATTTTTGTTAAAGCCTATTGAATATCTTAATCCTACTCAAAGATCTTTCGTACCTAATGGCTGACGCTCGTCAGCCCCAACAAACCAATAAGACATTCTACATCACCTTCACAAAGGAGTAATCTCAGGTGTGTAACACCTCTGGTACAAAGTACCATAATTTCGTGCAACCCCGTTACACCCTCCCCCACCAGACTGACGTTTGCCAAAACGTCAATCGAACTTGTGTTCTCAGCGAGAACAGTGAGCGTACGGTGAACCTCACGGTTACGTACGCTCTAGCACGATGTCCTCATCACTAAACGAGTCAAAGGCTCTGTGTGAATACCTCGGAATAGAGGAGGAGGTGGACTGTGGTAGCGATACCAGTGTCCGCGGTGATACAGGGACAATGTCCGGCTCACTGAGGCCTGAGGCACAACCTTCGAGCACCTCAAATCCGTTCGCTGAACGTGGAGATGCGAGCGCGCCACCAGCGTAGCATGCAGAATCGGGATCTGAAATGACTATCATCACGAACCCGCTCGATGAGCAACAACAATTGCTTGTCCAAAGAGAAGATAACGCTCAGCGTTGTACGAATGGCTGCAACCCTTGAACGCCAGCGTGACTATGTGCTCACCCCACCCAGTGTGAAGGAACGTCTACGTCAAGCGGCCGGCCAAACATTGGCAACGTGGGTCATTGGCCATGGGCCTAAGACTTCTGAGGAGGTGGTGAGCTGCCAGGCACTTCGTGAGAGGTACCTGGAGCCGCACCTAACGACTCAAAGTCAATACAAGGCACGCCTTGACATGCAAGCACGTGGTGCACCGGTTCCACCGATTAAGGGTATACCCATTCTCTTGCTCGCAGGCGAAACAGTGAGCGAAGAAGACGATGCCTTCGTTCACTGGGTGCACTATGTGCGTCGCCTCAGCAACAACTTTGCTCTTAGGGCTAGTGCCCTTGCGGCTGATGCGCGTCTCGAACGCAAGCTTCGGTATGATTATGCCAAGCTTAAGGCCAGAGGCCAATTGCGCAAGCGCACGCGCTATGCTTCGGCTACTAAGGTAGCCGCGAGTGCTGGTCAGTCTGTGGCCAACAACCCGCCAACCCGCACCACTAGTGGTGGGGAACGGCCCCGGCCTCGAGATAACCATGGCCACGATGCTCAAAAGCATCCAAAGCATATGGGCAGTCTTGCAGAAGGGGTACCTCAAATCCCCATGAGTTTTCAAACTCAGGGTACCCTCGCCACTTTACCAGATACTGGTATCGGCCCTGACGACGACGTCGTTTCAGTAGTCTCTCGACATGAAATGGACGACACCCATGCTCATCGAGCAAAGTCGGTGGCGGCAGGTGTACCGGTGGAAGCCCACGATAAATTGGTTCTCGAAGTGAAGGGTCTTCAAGAGGCCTTGGGTAAGTCCCAGTGCATGCTGGATGCGATGCAAAGCCGCCTTCAGGCGATGGAGCAAGCTCAAACTCGGAGCGAGGCTCAGTTGGACTTGCTGATTCGCCTACAGCAATCCGGGGCAGTGCCCTTGTCGTCGGCGCAAGCGCCTCCAAGTTTACATGGGAAGGATCCCAGTACGGCTTAAGTAAGCCTACGTAGAACACTGGATGTGTGCGCAATTTGCGCGGGAGGTTAAGCGTATACGCAATTCCCTTCTTAGCCGTGAACTTAAACAGTCCGATAAAGCGTGGACGCAACTTTGTCTTAAAGACAGCAGACACTTCATTTGTAGGTAAATTTTTAGCATTGAGTAGTACTTGGTCTCCGACCTCATAACGCTTCATACAATTTCTGCCTTTGGCATCATCTTGTTGTTTTTGGGTATCTTGGCTATCAGCCATTGCGTCACGCACATGTCTTTAGACATTTAATCGCGTTGCGAGAAACTCGCTTACCTGTTTTTGAACAGTAGCAAGGCTGATATCAGCAAGCCGATCGGCAACCTCTCCCCCACCAAGCCCTGAATCACGTAGTGATAGCGTTAACGGAACGCGAGGGTGAGTGGGACCGTTTATATAGAACGGAGTAAAGCCTGTTGAGGCATGAACAGCGTTATGCAACACAAACTCAACAACAGGGAGCATTGAGCTCCAACGCCTAGCCGTATCAGCGCAAATACTGCGCATAATGTCAGTGATGACGCGGTTAACACGCTCAGTTTGACCGTCGGTCAGCGGATGATCCGCTGTGGACATGTCCAACCGAGTGCCCAGCACCTTAAAGATAGACTTCCAAAACTTCTCAGTGAAGCGGGTGTCTCTATCAGAGATTATTGTCACCGGCAAGCAATGTTGGCGAAACACACGGTCGATAAACAGATTTGCTGTACCTTCAGCATCGATGCCGGCACAGCCGCTAAGTGAGCCATCTTGCTTAATCGGTCAGCAAAGACCACAATACCAGTGTTGCCTTCCGAATCTATCGGTAGGCCAAACAAAAATCCATGCTCATGGACTCCCAACAACCAGTGGGTACTGGCAAACTAACCAGCGGCGCCGCCGCATGTGCCGAGGGTTTTACCCGTTAGCACGTTTTGCACGTATGCACATAGGTGCGCACCCACTTGTAAATTTTGGGCCACCAATAACTTTGGCTCAACGAGCTATAAGTCTTCTCACGACCGAGATGACCTCTTAAAGCAGTATCATGTGCCTCATAGAGGATTTGATACTTTAATTCCTCATCATGAGGTACAGCGATACGAGGCTTATCCTCAATATCCGTGCGATAGCACAACAGGCCAGTATCGATGGAATATCGATGTAGCCTCGCACGTAAACGTGCCGACAGTTCTATGTCCGAGTCTTTAAACTGATTGCTCCCAAGAGCACGTAGCAAAGCTACACACTGATCATCCTTGGCATATGCCGCACGAATTAGTCAGGGACTGACGACGACAGAGTCGTAACATGAGCAAGCTCATAGTCAGGTCGACGCGATAGCGCATCAGCCAAAGCATTTTGCTTACCTGGCTTGTACTTCACCTCGAAGTTATACTCGGCAAAGAAGGAAAGCCAACGAGCCATTCTCTGTGAGAGATGAGGCGACTGTGTCGCAGTGCGTAATGACGCATGATCTGTATAGATCACAAACGGCTTGGAGCCAAGCAGATGTACTCTGAATTTGACAAAGCGTACTTCATAGCAAGTAGCTCTTGTCATGAACAGGATAGCTCTTTTCAGCAGCTTTCAGCTGCCGAGACCCGAATGCGATGACGCGTCCGCGTCCGTCGACAACTGTTTGTAACAGAGCACTGCCTATGGCAAAGTCAGATGCGTCACAGACGACACTGAGAGGCCGACCAGAATCGGGCAAAGCCAATATTGGCGCACGAAGGAGACTCTCCTTAACTGCCTCAAAAGCAATATGTTCGGTGTTACCCCAACACCAATCCACATCCTTTTTAAGGAGATTAGACCATGGCCGAGCCATATCTGCGTAATTCGCACTGTACTTATGTAAGTAATTGGCAAGGCCAAGCCACTTACGCAAGTCCTTTTGGTGTGGCATAACAAGCCACTTCAGAGCATACCGCTCGGAGTACTCACCGCTGTTAGCGGAATATCACTTGCTCGCATAAGCAGTTGGTTATAACCATCGACTAAGTCGAGTGCACTGTACAATGTACATCCTGCCATATTGTTCTGAAGCACATCCTTTCTAGGAATAGGCGTCTGCGCCGGTATAGTGGCTGCATTTAGTTTATTATAAGCATGCACAATACGCCATTTTCCATTTGGCTTTTTGACACAAAATGCTGATGTTGAATGGAGAGACTTGCTCTCACGAACCATTCCAGCCGCGTGCTAAGCACAAAAGAATTCGGCAATGAAGTCACACTGTTCTTTAGGCAAAGGCCACTGCCGTGTTACACAGTATTTAGTTCCAGGAACTGAGTCAATCTCATGACGTACACCTCTATCGGGAAGTAAGGCAGAAGGTGGGTTGTGACAAACCACATCTTGAGATTCCTTAACTAAAGGATAGAGCGGATCCAAAGGATCTTTACGGATCGAAGATCCACTTCGTGCACTAAGTGCCGCCTTTGTATCCTCTAGGACAGACTCATCCATTAACGAGGAAGGATTCAACTCAGTATCAGGTCTAATGACCGCTAACTCGGATTACTCTCCTGCATTCAAGGCCTGGCTAAACTCGCCATCAGACATTTCGTCTAGCTCACAAAGAGCGTCCATAGATGGAAGGGTTTCAAGGCAAACACTGCCATCAACCTAACCATTCACTCCATCAACAAGTGTATATAGTGTATTACTATTATCACTATGTGACTGTGAGGACGCCTTGCGCTTAAAAGTTGCTACCCAGCGTCTCGATCGTCATTTCGAGACCTTATACCCCTTAGGGGTCGGGACAATATTGTCCCCATGGTTACCTCTAACCATAGTACGCTCTATACAAGAGCTTTTGTCTTGACCGACATCCGGTGAAGTGTTACAAAGCTCGAACACTTCACCCAGTGGATTGAAGCGTGCCACTCCACGTGTATAATGCGGGCCTAGCCCCAAATTTAACGGCGTCTCGCCAATAAGGTCAATACCGACATTAGGTGTGGTGCCCTCACGGCCGTCCACACTATACGGCGTATCGCCAACAGTATCATTACTGACATTAGGTGTGGTGCCCTCACAGCCGCCCACACTAAACGGCGTATCGCCAACAACGCCATTACCGGCGTTAAGCGTGGTGCCCTCACGGCCGTCCACACTATGCGGCGTATCGCCAACAAAATCATTACTGACATTAGGTGTGGTGCCCTCACGGCCGCCCACACTATATGGCGAATCGCCAACAATGTCATTACCGACGTTCAGTGCGGTGGTCTCACGGCCGACCGCACTTGGTGTAGTTTCACGTGCCACCATACACACATCAAAGGAATCACATCCTTGATCACTCGGCCCTAGGCCAACCATGCTTTCAGCATGCAGTGACTCGTTATCACAACGATAAACACTCAACGGAGTACGTGCCGTTTCACTAGTTTTAGACGAGCTAGGCTCAAAACTTATGTTTGTAACATTGGAGTTAGATAAATCAGACATACCAATGTCCAGCACATTGACATCTCCTGTCAACGGCTCGCGCCAATAGCGCTTCTGTTGCCTAGCGAAGGTGGTTTCATAACTCTCCAAGCTTCTCTAGGAGCATTGCGCGTAGCGCCTAAGGTCTTAGACCTCTAATTAATCCATGGCTCATGGCGCTCAAGCCAAGCCATACCTAGGATGAGATCATATCTCGAGTCCAAATCTAGGACAAGACAGCGCTCGATACTGTCAAAGTCTAAAACTTTATACCTAAGTTCAATGGAACTTCAGGCACAGTAACGCGACTTCCAGTCGCTAAACGAACCGTGATAGAATCGCCCTCATGCGCTGTAAGCGCCTCAGCATAACGCTGACTTCCCTCAAGGGAACGGCATTGAGCATGATTGCAAGACGCTCGAGAATCGATCAATATCGACCAAGGCTTCTCAAAGCCCTTAATTTTCGCCTCGGCGACCAACAAGCCAGACTTGTATCCACGCACCCTACCTGTAGGTATGGTACTCTTTGGGGCTAAGCCCTGCATTCCTTTACCTTCTAAAGGTGTAACAGAAACTAGTTCTTCCCCAGTAGGGCGCCCCGCGCCTACTGGGTGTCGGCATTTCCCCGTGCCATGCCAGACTTCTGACTCGGGGTCGAGTGTTGGCTCTAAGCCTGGCGTTGCTTACGCAAAGGGCAACCAGGCCGCAAGTGTTTAGTGCTTCCGCGCGTTAAACATCATCGTACGACGTGTTGCTGCTCAGCAGCTTGAAGCTCAGCTTCACCTCCATCTTCAGCATAGCTGAGATCCATCGGTTCCGGCCTATTATAGGCAGTGGTACCCGAAACGTTTGCTCTCACAGAGCGACGATTGTATCCATTCCAACCAAGTCTGGCCAACTTGAAGTAATGCTCAGAATTAAGAGCAATTCTCACGGCCTCTTTTAACGTAAGGGGGTGAACCCGGAAAACCTCGGTTCTGGCAATGCCAGTACGTAGACCTTCCATGAATATAGTCACATGGACTGCTTCAGGCAGAGGGTCAGACTGCATTGCAGCCATGAGCGTTCGCAGCTCTTAGACATAGTCCGATAATTCATTCTTACCCTGGCGGGTAAAAAGAAAGCGTGAACGCACGCGGTAAGCTACATAAGGTGGAGAAAGCACCTGTACCAAATGTGACTTGATCGACTCGAATGTGGGAAACGCTATGTCCACCGACGTGCTACACGTCAAGGCCCATTCTCTAGCTCTACCATCGAGATTCGAGGTAGCCAGCGAGACCTGTTGATGGTCAAGCGTGAGCAGGCCTGATCTCATGACCATCTCAATCTCACGGATCCAGAGGATGAGGTTCTGACCCTTCTTACCGGAGTAGCTTTTCACTTCCACTCTCAGTGGACGAGGCTTAGCCTCTTCGTCTGGTACAGACACGTAGCGTGTGGGCATAGCCGACGCTATTTGGTCTTGGACCTGCCCTAAAAGGGTCGCTTCATACTGCATGTAGATTTCAACACGTGCATTAAGCACTTCAGGACCTTGTGAAACAAGGAACTCCACGTACTCTGGACCCAAAGATGCGATCAGCTTATCAAGCGCGACCTTTTGGGCCTCAGATAGGGGAGTGGGGTTTTCCATCCTCACAGAGGATCAGTCTTAAAGAATCAGGCGTAGATTGACTACTAGTGCTACCAAGTGTCGCGGAGCTACACAGCTCCTTAAGTCAGAGGAAGACTTAACGCTCTACTAGCAACTTAGTTCTAAAGAACTAACGACTTTACGAGTCAACAAGCTTTACAGCTTCAGATCCCTGTTCCAGGGGACCTAACGATTCAGTGAATCGACTGCACTGAGTGCTCAAGAGTAGCTACCTCAAGGAATTGTTGCTAACTCTTAGTGATCAGTGATCAACGATCAAGACGGCTCGCAAGCCACGTGTCCTTTAGATCAAAATGGGAACTGGTTTTATTTTTGTTAAAGCCTATTGAATATCTTAATCCTACTCAAAGATCTTTCGTATCTAATGGCTGACGCTCGTCAGCCCCAACAAACCAATAAGACATTCTACATCACCTTCACAAAGGGGTAATCTCAGGTGTGTAACACCTCTGGTACAAAGTACCATAATTTCGTGCAAACCCGTTGCAACGTGTCTCCAGGTGGCGTAGAGATACACATATACACGAACTAACACTAGCAACTATTTGTCAGCGACGATTCCGGACTTTACATACTGTAGCAATACTAGTTGCGAGCCCGAAGGGTGAAGCTGTAAGTGAGTGTGCGCAAGGTTGTATACTGATCTTTCAAACCGTGCTTATTTATCTTTGTGTCCGTCTGTAAAAATCGCGGTTAGGTGTACCATACCTGCACCAAGTGCGATCTGGCCTGTCCCCTTCATAGACCGATTAGCATGATAGGTGTCACTCTACGGCTAGGTCATTATTGTGCTGGACACATGTGATTGGCTTAAAATCGATCAAAGGTAAAATGGTCACATAGGCAAATGCTAGACGCTCACAAACACTGGCCGATCGCGATGCCCAAAATTACTGTACTGGGTTAATACACTTATTAACTGCATCACATTCAATTGAAGTGACTACTTGTACAGTGTTTTGCAACTGGATTTAGTTCTATGAACTGGATTACGTATATTAAGAGGCGAGCTTCAGAGCTTGCTCCCCTATCTTATATTTGTTCTTCGGGCTTTCAATGATTACGGACATAAAGATGGATGTATATCCATAGTTGCGTCTTACTTGGATGAAAACCGCTAAACGGCATATCGCTTTTTTGGTGTCCCACCCGATTTTAATCAGCGTCGTTATACCAGCACACAAATAACGGGGCTGCCGAGAAGGTCGACTTTCACCTTACGGAAGAACAAACTTCAGTGCACTATTCGGCTTACCTTACGGACATCCACTCATAGCTTCACCGTCCGGCTCGCAACAACTTTCGATGGTAAGGGTGTGAACATACCAATATCATAGTGTAAAGACCACAATAACTCAATAAGCTGCAATCTCAGCCAGGTAAGTAAAATCTCGTCTACTGAACATTTCGGAGAAAGCACTGTGCTCATTATATCCCATCACCTACGTACCTCTGGATAATCGCTAATATCGATAGCCTGTCGAATAGCTGGCTTCATGGTATCGACGCGGGAAGGATTCGAGATGGGCTGGTCTAAAAATATCCTCCTTTGATCAGCTACATCTCCTCTTGAATCCTCCAGTACACAATTGCATATAAAAAGCGCGTTTGAGTCGTTCACTGTGGTACTATTTCTCACCCAGACACAAAACAATATTGTGTCTGCGTGAGGATTCTCGGCATGCGTCATGATACACCATCAACGATAGTGTTTAGCGCCGCGTGGAAAACATTAGTTGACGGGTGAAGCACTGATGAGTTTAGGATGTGTTGTCGTGGGCGTAATTTGTCGTTGCATAGAATACCAGCTTTGAACACAAGTAATTTATTGCTGCTTGCAGGACTTGAGTCGTAGTATGAATCTGCGACCATCACTGCTGCTTGCGGGACTTGAGTCGTAGTATGAATCTGCGACCGTCACTGCTGTCGAATTTGGCTTCAGTAGTGGGTCAGATAGCTATGGTTTTGACAGCTGACAAAGAGCAGGAATGCGTCGACGAATTGCTGGTATTGATACATGTGATAATAAATTTTGTCGTATTATGCCATTGCGCATCGGAGTACCAGGTATGATGGTATGGTCGCGATGGGATGTAAACTACTGCCCTGCTGAGTATGTTTTCGGTAGACCAACAGCCCGATTGAAGACCGTGGCGTAAACGTTGTAACGACGACGAGGCCGACACCCAAGCTCAACTTGGTTTCTGACGGCCTGGCGGCTCGAGAGCAGTAAAGGAAATGAATGCAAAGTATTTGCCTTGTTATAACGTTTACTCGGATGGTCCTCGTTGTAACGGGGTGAATCGTTACATAACAATTTATAAGAAATTGTTAATAGAATATAACTATAAGAGTTATATTCTCAGAATATTGTCATAAGGACAATATTCTGTAGCACTTCCAAGTAGTTCCTAATTGGTTGATATAGGCCATTATATCAACCAACGAAGACGCGCCACGACAGACGCACGCAATGAGTGGTGAGCAGATAGTTGATTTACACATTTGTATTTAGACATAGTTAGATGAAGATAAATAGTGATTTATTGCAGACATTAACTATTATAAATACAGTTCTACTTTTTACTCTAACCGAGTACTCGCTTCTTCTTACCGTCTTCCTCTGCACGTACGAGTGTACGTGAAGTTACGAGGCACCGCCTTATTCTGTCATCAGAATAAGTAGCTTGTACTGTCACCAGTACAAGCTTCAGGGTGCCCCGTTACACTCGTGCACCTCTGCCCATTACTTTGTCAGGATATAACTGGTTACATCACCTCCGACAGTTTAAGTGATGAGATACATGCAATATTCTCTAACCTCTTTTCTTGCTCGGACAACGAAGTAGAGCAGTCGCTCTTAGCTCTTGTAGCATCCTCCCATATGTCGAAAAGATACTGCAACACCAAGTCGCGCACCGTCATCGCGTTGTTCATTCACGAGGTGCATAAGTCGAAATATGCGGAAGACTATGCTGGTGTGTTTAAACGTTCTGGTAACCGAGCGCTTGCACGAACGCAATGCTAAACTTTATTACTAATAAAATATTGTGATGCGTGACGACAACCTCACGTAGACCCAATAATGTTGCATGGGCGATGATGGGATTGTAGGGTGTGACACAAAAGCACTATTTATGAATGATTGTGTACTAGAAAATTCAGGAGAGGTCGCTGATCGAAGCAGGAGGATGTTTAGATCTGCCCATTCGAGAGAGACGTAAACTTGCATAGTCCGTACGCCAACGTGCATAGCACCACAGGACCAGAATCTGAAAAAAAAGTCTGGCTTTCGAGATCACGCAACCACGCCAAAGCTTCGTTCGATGATGTGACAAAGTACCTCTCCCCTCCCTGCCAGCTCACCACTCGACTTGAGACCTCACGCGACTTCTTCTCATTATCATACTCGCGTCACGCACACACAAGTTCCAGCTTCTTCCCTCAGCATCTGTCACGAACTTTAATGATCAAGTACTTCCTCCTCCTTGTGCTCGCGGTTGTCGTGTCCAGTGGAAGTGAGGCTCTTTCGGCTGCAGCAGCCGAAATGCCGATGACGCCGCATCTGGACCAAGCAGCTCAGTCGGAACCGGACGACAAACGGGTGCTTCGAGACTCTGGCGTCACCGATGAGGTCGCTCATGGGGAGAGATTCATGCTGGAGTTTGGTGCACTGATTAAGAGCGGCATTGCCCGTCTGATATCTGGACTCGAGAATTGGAGCGCCAAAAACGCAATGGGGATGGAGTACATCGCAAAGCTAAGGACAATGCTGGAACATTGGGGCGTCTTGAAGAAAAAGCCTGTCACTCGTGATGAAAGAGTCAGTCACGCTAAAGAGTTGGTAGCGAATGAAAAATCGTACGACGAGATGTTCAAAGAAGGCGTAGACCCTGATGACCTGAAGACTGCGCTGCATCAGAAATATAAAGTCGATCCGTCTCACATGGGAGCATCATATTATGATGTCGAACAAAAGGTTGCGGACTACCGAGCGGTATTGGAGAGCCATCGGAAATCATCTGATAAACTACGAGCTGCCAGTAACATGGTTTGACATGCACTGAGTGGTCTTTGAAGCAGTGATGGCGCGCGCGAAGGTGGATTTACATAGCGATGACTAAGGCGTCGATGGATTCAAAGGCTCGTACAGCAACACAGACTAGCCTTTTGCACCGCATTTAATAATCATTGTTGTTACTGTACTGCGTCTATATCTGCAAAACTTTGGGTTGTTTAATTTGTAGTGATGCGGGGAAAGGCGATAGTTATACATTTACTGAAGAGTTATCCATCAGCGAACTGGTTGGGCCTTTAATCGCTCAGTGACGCTTTTAACGATACAACCGATGTTTACCGTTCTACGCGCCAACAGCGGAAATATGATATACATGAGACCCTCGTGACTATTAAATCCCCAAGAAACAAGCCGTCCATCGTTACGATACATTTTGATTGTATAACAGTTACCAGGACAACAATCTTAAATCTATCGATTTATCCATGTCGAAGTTTATCACAGGAATACACTATGCTGCCCTACAACGGATCGTCCACATCCTGTGGATATAAGCTCGCTCGGACAGCATCTTGTTGGCCGTCCTTTCGTGGCTTCGATATGCTGCACATAAGCAGTTTGCAGTATTTGTGCAAACAACTTATGTCGCAGCATTGTTATTGCGCCAGTTCATGTGTCGATGCTTTTCTTGGCTTTATGTCAAAGCCTAGGTTTTACTTAGTAATGTAAGTCATACGTTGATATTAATGTTCAAGGGTAGCCACGACATTGGTACTCACAACCGCGCAGGACGTAATCGGGTGAGTACATCTTTTCTTTCTTTTTTGGTAGACAATTCCGCTGAGCAAGGAACACATCTTTACGTCTAAAAAGACCGTCCTAATGATTTCTTTTCTATTCAAAAACTAGTGTTGATGGAGAGTCAATCAGCGCTTGGACAACAATATGTTATGACTGCTATTAACCGGAGCTATAACAATATAATTGGGAGTATGAAGGAAATACGTTATCAAGCGAGATGAGTGCAGGTTGGCTACATGCACAGTCCACAAGAAAAATCTGCGGAAGACAAGATTTCAAAAGCAAATGCCGCATCATCTTCAGAAAGTCATAATCAGACATAAGAAGCTTTGTGTTGTATCTAGCGATACGATCGATGTCTCTACTCTGTTTTTAGTGCGAAACTTTGTATACTTTGTCAAAACTGGGACATGCATTTCATTTGCTGGTATGTATAACGGACAGGACGCGAAGAGAGGACAACGGGTTCGAGATCCTCATAATTAAATCGGATTTTCAATGTGGGAATCAAAACAAACGGCTGGGGCGACAAGCGTCGTAAAGGTACGAAGCTATCTACCGAGGACATCTGATGCTGGCTTTTTTGAACAGCTACAGAGTGTTACACCAGCCGAATGTGCCTCGAAAAGGAAAAGTAAATAATTACAAAACAAGGACGCCAGCCCGACTAATACATAGTTGCGCGCATTAGAACACGTCTGATATTGGGCCTTAGTGTGGGGGTATGTGAATGGACTATGAAAATGTAGCACAGGTTCATTTACTTATTGTAACGAGGCACTGGTTACTGATACTGCTTTAGTACTAGTGTACCTACACTGACAACTGTGTAGGTAGTGCCACGCGTCACTTTACGTACATTGTCCGTGCAGAGGAAGGCTAGCTAATGAACGACGCGTTCAGTAGGGGTAAAGCGTAAACTGTATTAAATACGATTAAGTCATAATTACATGTACCTACGTTGAGTCCAAAATTAATCATATTGATCTACAAAAGTGTAAACAAAAGTCTTGCTTGACATTCATTGCGCGCGTCCATCGTTGGTTGGGCCACTAGAGCTGGCTGATATGATGGCCTGTATCAGCCAATCAGTGGTGAGTGTTTCTACATTTTACCCCTTGTAGTAACATCTACGAACATTGTCACACTCTATGATAATATTCGAATCATCAAATATCAAGACTGATCGCATGTAACACGCTCATCCCTGTACACTAGTGTTACATCAAGCAGCCACAACGTTGCAACTTATTCACAGTGTTGATAATCTTGCGCCTGGCAGTATTCAATGTTCTCAGCTTTGGCATGATTTGATTTCTTTAGGATGCGGTACGAATTCATCTGCTCGGTTCTTAAAGCTTTAAGTCACATGCATTGCGCCAAAATTGGTGACAAGTTACAAGTTACCCCACACCTGCAGAAGTGCATAAAAAAATCACTGTTGGTGTGCGAGTAAAGCTAAATTAAATAATTAAGGCGAAATCGACACAGAAAATTACTTGAGTGAGAAGGTGAGGTATATTAAGATACGCGTACGACTCGTTATATCCTGACGCTAGGCAGCACAAAATATCTTAGAGATCTTACGCAATATTCTAGTTAATGCTGGTACTCGGGCGGCGGAGCGCCTTCGCGCAGAGCCTTGTCTGAAACGATCAGGTCCATCGGTCTTAGCCCGTGGCCCTGTAGGTTGTGGTGCTCGGTGTGAGAGGCCTCCATCTATTGGTTTACATCTTTTTCGAGGAAGGTTGCAGCCTCCTACACAACACTTTATTCTGAGGAAACGCGCACTTGTATAGAAGCCTCTAATTTCATAGTATTGTTCCCTGTCGATCCGCCATGTTGTTGTAGGTACGATAGTGGTGCCACCATCTGAATGAATTTACATTTCCAGCTACGGTCCGTGCCTACCGAAATAGTCGCACCAATTGTGTCTTGCTTAAAGAGTGACGCTTTCGAAGTTGCGAAAGCACTAGTGCGCTGTCCTCATGGACGCGCAGGGGTGCGTGACCGCTGATCTATGCTTGTCGTAGGCTGTTCACGAGCCCTTAATTCATCAATGTTGATTATTAATATCTGCGGATCCATCCTCCATGCTCGATACCCATATGACGAGTACACGATGTGTCTAAATTTGAAGCCGGATAATGATGGAACCTGCGCCTACCGGTCCCGAAATTACTTTTGATCGTCCAAAGAATAATAAAAAGTAGAAAAGTCCTGCGCACTGTTCGTTAGGTAGCATTAGCAACGAAGGCGGTTCATCGTAGCATAGTATAGCATTAATCAGGGAGGAACTTACGGTCGCAAAGCGGCGCCCGTCTTCTTCCACGTCAGGATGGTACGTTGATCCACAGTCGTCGAACCGACCGTCGAGAGAGCGTCCTGGGCCTCTGGCTGTGTGTAGCCTGTTGCATGTAATTAATCCTGATATTTGCTGATCAGAATATCATCATAAAGTGTGACAATGTTCGTGAATATTACCACAAGTGGTAAAATGTAGAAACACTCACCACTTGGCTGATATGGGCCATCATATCAGCCAACACTAGCGGTCCAATTAACGATGGACGCGCACGATGAGTGGTGAGCAAGACTTAAGCATATCGTTTTGGTAGATAAATATGGTTAAGTTAGGACTAAACACAGGTACGTCAAATTAAAACTTAATTTTATTTAATACCGGTTTTATTTTTATCAGCAACTCGTCAGTTTCTAGTTGCTTTACCTATCTCTGCCTAATCATATAGTTATCGAGATACAGCTCGCACTGCTATCGGTAATATTAATTCCGCACTGAGTGTCCAGTGTGTTGATCCGGTAATACATTACATCCAAGCCTCATGCGGGACTTTCAGTAAGTTTTTTAAGCATCTAGACGTGTAAGTCAGCATCCTCGGAAGCGCCAAGACATCTCTACTGAGGAGATACTCCGATGGGGGACGTGTATTAGTAGAAGTCCAGAATACATGTACGTAATTTTCACTTAATCGAAGCCGAATGCGTAATTGTAGTATACACTGGATTGAAGCCGAACATTTAGATCCGGGGCAAAAGAGATCTTGGGTAGACCTATTCCGGAGTGGAAAGCTCATACTCTTCGGCCGATACAGCGTCTTTTGTAATCGTAAAGGATGCTTTTATCCGCCAACTACATCCTAATGATCAACAATGTGCTTTCAGAGATGACAAATTAGCCAGTCTGCGACTAAACACCACAACGAAACAACAAAACCCCGCCCATCCTCCATCCACTCGGGCCACAAAACGACCACTCGGGCCACAATAAGACGCAAAACGAAACCGACTAGTGAAAAAACCACCAAACTGACTCTCTGTCTCTCTAAATATCACCTCCCTCTCTTTTCATTAATCACCAAATAGCAAGACTCTCTATTCTAATACATCTTGTCCACAATGATCACCAAACAACAACATCGTCGACGCGACCGAACAACCGACCGGCCTTGAAGTCGGGTGACTTAATTTGAAGTGGTGGTCATTGAACTCGATATTGAGTTGAGCTTGTCGTCACTTCTTGACGAGTCTATCTTGGACGACGCAAAGGCGGCACTGAGTTCTCGAAGTGGGAATAATTAAAAAAAATTAATTTACTTTTTGTATTATAAAATACTAGCAAAAACAGGTCCTTCATACACTTTGACAGAAGGAATGAAATAGTTTGTGTAGCACGTTGTCGATATCAAAAATAGAAGCCGACCCGAAGGGTTTGGGGTCGTTGGTCAAAATTCTATTTCCTCAATCTGATTTCGGGCGTGGGAAAAGAGAATCCTGAGCTGAGCGAAACGGTGCGCCTACGTTTAACGAGGATTAAATTACTTCAAGACGGCACCGTCGAGAGATGATCTTTGCACGGCATACAACAAGTACCGACGTTCATCTCGGTGATGCCATAAGGTTTAGTAGTGACCTTTACACAATATGTATTGACAAACGATCTTGCAGACTGCTTTGAGCAAAGTAAGAGAAATAATGTCAGGTGCAATAGCATTGATACCTTTGTCATGTAAAGCAAGTTGGTCGATTGAATCAAAGCAGATCTGCTATTAAATCGCGTTTTGGCGATCAGTATGCACTCGAAACTATTTTAGGCTATGAGAAAATTTGCCGCGTACGCTTTTTATTAAGCTATTTCTGTCTCTATCATTCAGTACAGTACGTATCTATTCTGTTACATGCTGGCCGTTAGACTCTCTTAGTGGTTTATTACATCGCCCTCTTTTTCCACTAATTATCGAATCTATGGGCTTAACGCGAGCTTTAGCGGACTCGAATTGTGACAATTTTGTAGCCCTTAAACTTCTTACTTTTGTATTTGTAACATTTTTACTGACAATACATGATACCTTACATTGTAGGTGATGTTTTTCTAACTGTCTTCGCAATCTTACTTCTTTGCTATTTAAAAGTATTTTACTATCGATAGCTCTGGGTTGATATTTCGCCTATACGTGAGGTCGTTTGTGTTCATGGGTCCAAGAAGAAGAGTTACAGGCATGCCCGGGTCAAGAAAGGCATTTACACAATTTCTGTAGTCTGAGCCGTTTTATTGCTTTGTTGTTATACTTATAGGTAGTAGGAATCATGAAAAATGTATTGAAGAGTAGCTGAAAGTTTTTCTAAAAAAAGAGATAAATTTATTTATCTATCCGCTGCAATCCTGTTACAGTATATCTTCGTGCACAATATATGCTGAATATATGTATCTCTTAGTGGGCACCACGCTATCATCATCACCACTAGGATATTCCGAGTTAATGCATCACGACCGCATGTTACACGTGTAACTATGACAGCAATGTGTACCTCACATAATACCACTGCAGTCAACTCTTCGTTCACTCTATAGTTACAACAAACTAACAATACTAATTAGGTGATGTCCGATCTACCAAATTTACAGATTCTGGTCCAGTAAACCATTCCTGGAGTAATTTCTTACTCGTTACCGGAGGGCGGCTAGAGTCTACAATCAAATTATCGCACTACTATTTTAACCGCATAAGAAAGGAAGTGTCGATCTATTCCTTACCTACAATCGTGGCTATCGTCGTTTACACTGTCCGTTATTAGACGGAGTGTGGGGGGGACAATTTACACCAATACACCAGATAGTAATAATAACATCACTTAAAAGAACCAAGTGCATCACTATCACCGCAAGGTGAAACATACAACATTTTGATTGCTTCACAAGTCGGTACATACATATTTTAGATTCCACTCGCCTTTCCTCACAGCTTTATAAGGTTACTGCTTTACTCACTCTTATTCAATTTCGGTGTATACTAGATGTAATCTTATCGATTTTTATAAAAATCTAGGATAAAAAGCTATAGTAATGTATTTTGTTGAGTTTTAGTGCGATGTATGCTATTTATTTTTAAAGTCCTATAGCTGAGTCTATTTTTTAGAGTAAGATAGGGAAGCAATCCCTGGAAGCTCGCCGTTTTAGACAAAAAGTCCAGTTTGAAGAACCGAATCAAGTTGCAATACAATGTTTAACAGCAACATTCACTTACGATTCACTTATAAAACAGTACAATCATGTTAATATCATTATTAATCTGGCACAAGTGCTGGGGAACTCGATCGGCCTTTGCTTATGATCGTCCAGCAATTGCTTATGTGATCATATTCACGTTAGATCGATTTTAAGCCAATCCTATGCGTGCGTCACAGTAATTACCCTGTTAAAGAGCGACTTCGTATGTGCCTATATACCGATGTGGTGGGGAAAGGATACATCGCACGTATTACGTGTAAGCTACACCTAATCGCGTTATTTACGGACACACACACAAAGATAAGTATGATTTAAAATCTTAACATCCAACTTTGCGCAAACTCGCTCATAGCATCACCCTTCGGGTTCGCAATTAGGGCTAGCCTGCTTGCTGCAATATAATTTTATGTGTCAAGAGCGTCCTTTCACGGCTTATCCTTATACGATTGACGCATATGTTGCCAGGCCGCTAACGAACATAACAATTGCAGGTTTACGCCAAATTTAAAAGTTTTTACATCGATAATTGTAATATGATTAAGCTCAAGCAAGAGGTTATGAGGTATTATAAAAATGCAAGTGACACGCTATGTCACTCACTTTTCGCTACATCCTTGTTCTTGAGGCGTCTAGATCGGTACAATACCATATTTAAAGTATATATGCAAGTAAGGTGTCGATCTACCTCTACCTCTTTTTATTGTATGTGAATACGCCGTATGACTTCTCTGGTAAAAAAAAGGGCTGCCATCACAAGCTTTGCATAGCCTTAAAGCGGTTCTCTACATTATGAATTTACATCTAAAGAAGTAGGGATTTCAATACAAATCTGCGTAGTGACAACATATACAGCTTTCTTCGTGAGCTTAATGATGCGTTAAACATCGAAGCGCTATGCAGAAAGAAAATGCATCGTTCATCGAAATGGATGCGTGCAGATTTTCCGTACGATGAAGAAAAATTAAGGCTTAAAAATTTCCTGCTAAAAATGCAAATTGAAGCTACGACCAACACAATCGTCAAAAATTTGTAAGAATACTCAATATCGAGTCAGTATTACAGACTTTCGACGATGAAATGCACTAGATTTGGATGTGAATGATTAGGTAGTGACATTTTGGACGATAAGGTCGCTCAAGATCTATCTGCTTGTTTTGCTATGTGTCAACTTTACGTATTCGCTATTCCTAGAGACCTCTGAGAGCGTCCACAGCTGTCGGTACATTTATTCTGTCCAATCAAGAGAAACGTTATTTTGTTTTAATCATAGCAATTTGTCACAGCAGCGAAATACTCGAGAAAAAGTTTTTTGTTATTCCGGCTGCATTTTGTAGTTCTGTGACACCCGATAAAACTTTTTTTGGCTACATTTTGTTGGATCAGGATTTGAGATCGATCAGGTCATTAGTGATAATTAGTTGCACGTCATTAACTGCAGCTACGGAAAGAAATACAAATTTTAAGGCGACGACGTGATTCTAAATGACAATAGCAACATTACAACTTTATGCTAAAATTGAGGACCAAAATGATAAAAGAGACAGCCACAACTTTACCAGTAATGTTCGGCCAAAAAACTAAGATTAAATATTCATACCGGCTGCTGTGAAGATTTTGTGGATAAGGGTAAGCGAAAGTTTCACTGGTCTTGGATTGGTGTACATAAGTTAAGTAGTGCTTACTGATGTATACGCTCTGATGATCGAGGGAGTTGAGTGGGTTGCAAAAGTATAATCATATAATATTATAAATCAGTATTTTTCACTTACATCAATATTTTAAAATTATGCATATCTACCACTGATGCTGAATGATGATACGCGGATGTTTGTATGAGCCCTTGCAGTGACTGCTTCTGTTGTAACAGTACAAATGGTATCACGAAAATAGAGTTTTGTAATGTGATGTTGGTCTGGCGTCTTATATGTGTGCTTAGGGATCTAATTTTGCAGAACAAAAAGGTTTGGAGCCTGAACTACAAGCGTCATTGAGGGTAAGGCGCTGCATCACCTGAGTCAATTACAATGATGACAAAACTTTGCGATAATCCCTGATACAGCTAGTTTCTCATTATCTTACTTGTTCCAACCATGTAACGGGGCACCCTAAAGCTTGTACTGGTGACATTACAAGCTACTTATTCTGATGACAGAATAAGGCGGTGCCTCGTAACTTCACGTACACTCGTACGTGCAGAGGAAGACGGTAAGAAGAAGCGAGTACTTGGTTAAAGTAAAAAGTAGAACTGATTTAGCATAGTTAATGTCTGCAATAAATCACTATTTATCTTCATCTAACTATGTCTAAATACAAATGTGTAAATCAACTATCTGCTCACCACTCATTGCGTGCGTCTGTCGTGGCGCGTCTTCGTTGGTTGATATAATGGCCTATATCAACCAATTAGGAACTACTCGTAAGTGCTACAGAATATTTGTCCTTATGACAATATTCTGATAATATAACTCTTATAGTTTTATTCTATTAACAATTTCTTATAAATTGTTATGTAACGATTCACCCGTTACATCACCCCCCCTTAACCATCAGTCACTTTAGTGACTGATTGACTAAATGGATACTCGTCCCAAATCATTTGGGACAGGGTTTGCACTTGTTGGTCCGCGTCCACTTCCCAACATTTCATCGCATGGTTAACAAGCCCATGCGATGCGCGAGCAAGGCCGCCGAGAGCGCGTCCGCACGTCTCTGTGCGGACGCCGAAGCAGAAACCACAGCAACTGATGTCTCATCGGTTGCTGAAGCGACCCTGCCTGTGTCACTTGGTGATGCAGGCGCTGGTCATGAAGACACTCATGTCTTGACAGAGTACGAGCTCGGTGTCTCGTACTCTCCTGATACGGAAGACGGATCCGTATCGACGGCGATCGAATCCAAGCCGCCTGCCAAGCGTGGCATGGATGATGCTTTGCGTCGTAGCATCCTTGGTTCATCTGATGAATCAGATGAACCATCGCCGAAGCGTAGGCGCTCGAGGTCGCGAGACTCGGGCGCTAACAGTGGTGTCGGTCTCCTATGGACACCACTTCGCAACGAGGTGCCAGTCCTTCTGTCGGCACATCGCAGGAAGAGCGGGACCGCAATGTGTTGCGTCTCGCTCCTGAGAAGAAGGCATGGATGCCTCCCAAATCAGTCATGGATCACTTGTCGGCGACGACGAGTGATCGTTATCGAACACGGTTGTTCGATTCGTCAAGGATCCATCACCTTGACCCCAGCGCAAAAAACTATCGCGCTGAACATGAATTCTTTATCGATGCTTTCTTTAGACATCGATGATACAGTGGGAATCACAAGCGTGATGGTCCCTCACTGCTTCAGGCGTGGAACGCCTACATCCATAACCTTGAGGATGTAGGTCGTGATGCTTAGAACGACAAACTTATCAAAGCTCGTGATAAGTTTGAAAAGCGAACCCCGACAGGTGCACGCTACAAGCTGCATCGTCTGTCAAGGGAGAAGGGATTACCCTGCCTCTCTTGGGGAGACTCGTGCCCGTGTTGTGTGAACAACTATGCACGAGCACCTAAGGAGGCTTACCTCCCTAACAGCCCGTGGTGGCGCGTACGTATCTCTATTGAGATGTACGAAGGGATTGACAACCTGAAGTCCCTTTACGACCGTGCCGGGAAGACTTTCTCCGGCGGTCCTTCTGCGGCACAGGATGTGCCGCGTCGTACTGCTCAACCAGACCCAGTACGTCAAACAGTTGAGAGCGGGGCTCCCAAGAATCCCAGGACGGGGGATAGCCGCGCCACCGGACGAGATAACTCGTCCGACGTCCGTTCACGTCGCGGTGGTTCAACAGCTGCTTAACTAGATAGCGCTGGCCACCGCGAGAGTCCTCTAATGGAGGTGGAGGAGGAGGAAAGACGCTCTCCACACGATCATGTGGATCGGTGTGTTCCCGAGAGCTTCTTAGATTGTGTAACGCAAGGGTTACGCGACGATCTCGAACATGAGCGGGACAGGCGTCTCCAACTGGCGGACACTGTCTTGAGGCATCGAGCTGAGTTTGCCTTTGCTCAGCTTGATAACGAGAGATCTCTGACATCTCTTCGTGACGAGCTAAGGGTAGCTCGTGGGATTGTCGATCGGTCTCGGGATGAGATAGCTGCTCTTCAGACCCTTGTTGATGCCCAACATCGGGAGCACAAGGTTCTCTGCGAGATGCTTGAGCGCAAGGGCGTTCTTCATCGAAAGAAGCAGCGTACTGTTGGTACGGCTTAAGCCGACCAACGTAAAACGTGGGATGCGTTCGCATCTTACGTGGCAACTCGATCGTGTATGCATTGCCTAGGCGGTACAATACACCAAGTGAGCCGATGTACTTGGGTATTAGTTTACTGCTACCCAAGTTAGTCACTACATGCTTTGGTAGATTAACCGTAGACAGTAGGACTAAGTCACCTTTACTAAATAAAAGAGTGTTTGCCCTTCCATTCTTGTCAGCGTTTTGCTTTTGCTTATCCACCGCTTCGGCGACGGAGTCTTGCACAAAACGGACTACCGTTTCATGAGCCAGTATGAACTCATCTGATGACTCGTTAGCTTCAGTGCGCTGTGAGCGCACTGCAGCAACATCAACCTTTTCTTCAGTGAGGGATTCCGCACTCTCACTGGCATCATCTTCTTCGATATCGATGTTATCGATATCGGCATCAAACGCAATGACCTCTTCGTCAGAGCGTGATGAGCGTGAACCAAATCGGTTTTTGCTCGCGCGAGTCCCTCCCCCCCTGAAACCAGAGTTACACTCTAGTAAGGTGGGTACACGCGGATGGCGCAAGCCATTCACGTAAAACGGTGTATGTGTCGTGGACGCATGCACCGAGTTGTTGATGGCAAACTCTACCATTGGCAAAAACTCACTCCAACTCTTAAAGGAGTGTACGTATCCTCGAAGTATCTCTTCAAGGACACGATTGGCTCGTTCCGTCTGACCATCTAATTCTGGATGATCAGATGTCGACATCTTTAAGCGCGTTCCGAGTGATTTGAACACGGAACGCCAGAAATCAGCAGTGAATCGTGGATCTCTTTCTGATACGAGCTCACGGGGCAACCCATGAAGTCGGAAGATGGTGTCAATAAAGACACAAGCACAGCCACTTGCCGTGATTGTCTCTGGTACAGCCACAAGGTGTACCATTTTGCTGAATCTGTCAACAAATACGAGAATACCCGTATTCCCGCGTGCGTCTTTGGGTAACCCGAAGACGAAATCCATTGAGATGGATTCCCAGCACTCAGCCGGAACCGGTAGAGGCTGTAAAGGTGCACGCAGTGAAGGACTTGACTTCACTCGTTGGCAGACTTCGCATGCGCGAACATACTTTCGCACAAACTGATACTGGCGGGGCCAGTAAAAGTCTCGACTTACCGTGAGATATGTTTTCTCTCGGCCACGATGTCCTCCTATAGGAGCATCGTGATACTCGAACATGATCCGCAAACGCAGATCAGTATCATCTGGAATGACAACACGTGGTGTGTCACCAGAAACGGCTGTATAGTACAGTAAACCGTTACGAGTAGTGTATCGATCTGATGCAGATCGATACGCAGGCGACAATCGTTTCAACGATTCTCGAGATGGTTGGGAGAGATGTGTCAACAACTTCACAATCTCACCATCTTGGGCGTATGCCCGCCTCACATCATCATACAACGTTGTAGATGGGACTGTGGACGTCATAACCGCAACAGTGACTGTCTCACTGTTGGGTTTCGCGACTGTTTCAAATTCGGGACGACGTGAGAGTGCATCAGCGACGACATTAAGTCGTCCTGGTTTGTACTCGACCGTAAAGTTGTATTCCGCAAAGAATGACAACCACCGCGCCATTCGTTGTGAAAAGTGCGGGCTGTTCACTGCCGTGCGTAATGACGCATGGTCAGTGTAAACAATGAAGGGTCTATTTCCTAATAGATAGACTCTGAACTTCGCGAGTGCATACTTCATGGCAAGGAGTTCCTTGTCATGCACTGGATAGTTCCACTCAGCTGGTTGCAGCTTACGCGACTGATAGCAGACGACGCGTTCAACGCCTTCAAGATCGTACTGCATTAATGCACAGCCGATTGCGAAATCGCTGGCATCACAGACCACATGAAATGGCCTGTCCTGATCGGCTATTGCTAGGACTGGGGATTGTATCAAGCTCTGCTTGATACCATTAAAGGAGCGCTGACATTTAGCGTGCCATAACCACCTCTCGTTCTTTTTCAACAAACGAGAGAGGTGCACAGTCATCTCGGCGTAATTGCGTGAATACTTATGCAAATACGCCGCTAGCCCAAGGAATTTTCGAAGACCTTTGACATCAACCGGCACAGGCCAGTCGGTGATCGCCTTGATCTTTTCGGGATCAGGACGTACACCGTTCTTACCAACGATGCACCCAAGAAGCGGTATTTCTCTTGCTGCAAACATTCACTTCTTGAGGTTTGCATACCATTGATGCTTTCGCATGATTGTAAGAACCTGTCGGAAGTGGTACCTGTGAACCTTAACGTCCGACTTTCTATCCATAGCCCGACTATGGATGAATACGTCATCGAAATAAATCGACGCGAATTCTTGCGCTGGTCTCAACAGATGTGATACACATCTGTTGAAGTGGCAGGGGTATTACTAAGCCCTTGTTGCATTACGAGCCATTATCAGAGCATGCCGCTAGGCGTGCTCACTGCGGTATAGGGTATATCCCGTTCTCGCATTAGGATTTAATAGAAGCCATCCATCAAATCCATGGACGAAAAGATGGTACTCTTTGACATACCATCAATGATTACGTCCTTCCTCGGTATCGGCGTCTGAGCCGGTACCGTTGCAGCGTTCAATTTGTTGAACGCGTGCACTATCCGCCACCCTCCTGTTGCTTTTCGCACACAGAAGGTCGGAGAGCTATGTGGGGAAGTTGATTCCCTCACATGGCCCACAGCTAAACGATCGGCAAAGAACTTGTCGATCGCAAGTACTTGTTCACGAGGCAGTAGCCACTGCTTCATGACACAGTACTTCGAGCCTGGTTTAAGCTCGACATCGTGTCGAATACCTTTATTCTTCGGTAATTCGCAGGGAACAGTTTCAGGGAATTCATCCTTGAATTCAACCAAATCTTCATAGAGAGGATTTGTCTTGAGCGATTCCCACGATTGGGAGTCATATCGCTCAATTCGTGTCTTTTCATCTAGGACACTCTCGTCCATAGATGAACTACTGAGAACTCTCTCGTTTTCAGTGAACACTGTTTCTGACCTTATGTCGGTTACATACTCGTCGTCAGCGACGAGTACGCAGATCTGCTTGACTTTACCACTACGCAGATCACGCAAGAACCTTTTATGTTCGAGCGTTGGCAACTGAGTGATCTCCGAATTTAACTTCGGAGGCGCAATCAGATCAAGTGTATAAGCGCCTACACTTGATCCGTTATTGACTATGACATTCAATGTCTCTGTCATATCCTGGGGACTTATTCCCTCAGGCCTCGAAGGAATTATTCCTTCGGCTTCCCGGGGACTTATTCCCGCGGGTTTCGGGGAACTTATTTCCGCCGTATTTGTAATCTTGGGACTTATTCCTTTTACTTCCTCTAGCTGGGGTTGCGCAACCACAGCGAGATCCTCTACGAAAGACTCTCCAATCGATCTAGGATTATCGTTTCGCTTAACCTGAGCGATCTATGTTTTCTCTTCTAGATGCTCCCCGCTAGGGATGCATCTTTGTCCCAGTCCACCCGACTTATTCGAGTGGTGGACCTTCGGCGCAGCCTGTGTTTCCTCACAGCCGCCGGAACTTTGCTCCGAAGTGTAACCGTTTGGTGCACTAAGGTTTTGTGCAGTCGTACTAACGACCATACCACAAGTGAGGCCATCGCACTCACTCGTAGTACATCCACACGCTTGTGGACGCTCCAAAACGTTCATCAGATGGCCATCTGATGAACAAGCGGCAGGCATCGTTACTGTTCGATGTTGCCAGTTTACCCGTGGTTCGTACCTTCTGAGCCACGGTATGCCAAGGATGACATCAAATTTGTCATCCAAATCCAATACGATGAATTCATCGTCATATTGGGTATCTTTTAGCGTATAGTGGATCTTCACTATACGCTTCATGACGGTTACGGATGCGCCTGTCGCAAGACGTACCGTCATCCTCGTAGGAGGTGTGTCACATTCACTGAATTTAAAGTGACCATCTTCTAGCGATTGGCGTCGCACAAAATTGTTGGACGCCCCACAATCGACTAGAGCTCGAAGGGACAACTTATTTGTCACTTCGAGTTTCAAGGTAATGAGTGAGATCTCATTACCTAGAGCAGCAACGCACAACGTTTGTGTGTCGGGAGAAACCTTCATCAAGAGGCCTACAAATTCTCTTGACGTTGCTGGACCAGTAGGGTGCTCCGCACCTACTGATCCTGTCCGCTTTTTGACGGTCCATCCCGTTGTTGCGTCTTTGCACCAACAGCGGATCCTCGTCCCTGCCCCTTACTCATGGGTGGACGGTCACTACGCCCAGTGTCGCGAGACACTGGACGAGGGGCACTACACTCGTAAGCGTAGTGTCCTGTCTTTTGACATCTGTTTCATTTCTGCAACTCCTTGTAGTCTGTAGAGCGAGCCTTCTCGCTCTCTACTAATAGAGTTCCATCGACTCTGGACCTCCGCTGTCATATCGTCTCGGTTGACGATGTGATGTTGAGCTGGCGCGAGCCTGTCTCAGACTGAAGTCTTCCTGTTCCGCAATGGAAATGACTTGCTCTAGTGAATCTAGTTCAAGTCGGAACAGGTGAGTCTTGACGGGACCATCCGCAAGACCCTGCATGAACACCGAAACCAACGTGTGTTCATCAATCGGATTGGAACTTATACAAGTCGTGAGATGTCGTATATGTTGAGCGTAAGCGTGCACATCACGCTTACCCTGCTTGAGCTTCAAGAGTTCGGTTCGAGCTCTGAACTCAGCTCTAGGCGGTTCAAACGTTTGTCTGAGCCGCGACTTGAAGACTTCCAACGACCCAAACGCATATGGGTCGTGCAACTTGAGCCCCAGTGCCCAAGTCTTGCCACGTCCTGCCAGATTTGACTGGGCAAATGTAACTTGCATGTCCCCGTCGTCGATGCGACGCGCCCTTACGGCGTCATCCAATTCGACAAACCATCTCAAGAGGGAGTCCTCTTCGACTCCCCTATACTTGGAGATGTCAATCTTCAAGGTTTCGGGTCGACGCGAATGCATCGACCCACCAGCAGCAGCCTGCTGCTGTCTCAACAGTTTAAACTGTTGAGCACCTTGTTCTCTCAACAACTCTGCTTGTTGAGAACCTTGTTGGTGAAGCAAGGCTACTTTCTCGCGCTCTGCATCAAGTTCATTTTGAATGAACTTGACGATAGTAGCATGTTGGGCATCTCTATTGAGAGCCTCTAGCATGACGCTAACAGCATGGATGCCCATGGTTGAACCCATTCGTTCAACCGCATCCCATTCGACATCGCTCAAATGGGAGTAGCCGTCACGCGTAGCGTGAAAGCTTTGGTCATCTTCATCATCCAACATATTCATGTTAGATGTGAACGCGGTCCTTGGACGGACTACAAAGTGCTACCAGGTGTAACGGGGCACCCTGAAGCTTGTACTGGTGACAGTACAAGCTACTTATTCTGATGACAGAATAAGGCGGTGCCTCGTAACTTCACGTACACTCGTACGTGCAGAGGAAGACGGTAAGAAGAAGCGAGTACTTGGTTAAAGTAAAAAGTAGAACTGCATTTATCATAATTAATGTCTGCAATAAATCACTATTTATCTTCATCTAACTATGTCTAAATTCAAATGTGTAAATCAACTATCTGCTCACCACTCATTGCGTGCGTCTGTCGTGGCGCGTCTTCGTTGGTTGATATAATGGCCTATATCAACCAATTAGGGACTACTCGTAAGTGCTACAGAATATTTGTCCTTATGACAATATTCTGAGAATATAACTCTTATAGTTATATTCTATTAACAATTTCTTATAAATTGTTATGTAACGATTCACCCCAATACAAACCATGGGTAAGAACATGAAGAAAAGTAAAGAAAAATGACAAATGGTCTCCGTATCCGAACTCGGGTCGGGTGCGTTTCAACCTTCCGCCGGGGCATCGTCAGTGGCACAATCAATTAGAAAGTGAGTTTTGCTCAATCCTGCGCGGAATCATTCGAAACACCTTCTCAAACTTGGTCTAATAACATAGCTACCACAAGCGGCAGCTGGCGCGTTGTCGGTAAAGGAGAATCCGCTACGACAACTCCATTTTCAACAATTCGTGAAGCGGAGCTATCATAGCTTTAAAGTCAGAGGAAGACTTCACGGGTTAAGCGAGAGGATAACGGCTAACAGCCAATCAGTTGTGAGTGCTAGTAGTAATTTAATTCAAAGGAACTAATATATCAAGTTAAAGAGTCAGCTAATTCTACGGAACTAGCGCGGACTCTATGAGCTGTTAGCTCAGACTACTGTAGTTCTAAGGAACTACACGCACAATGTGAAAGGGGAATATAGGAGTCTAAGGACTCTCTAACCCACGACAGTTCTAAGGGTCTGTCAAGCGCAACGTGCGAAAGGGTGGGAGTCTACGGCTTCTGCTCAAAATGAGATCTGAGATTATTTAAAATTATATCAAGGAAAATGCTGGTTTAAGTACCCTGTATTAGACTAAACTGGAGCTCATACAAATATTAGTATTCGAACTAAATGGATGGTTGGCACATCACTCAGTCATCAAATGATGACGGTACAAAGTATTTTTTACGGTAAGTACCGTAACTCAGAGAATATCGACTAATCGGTATTCTCATTTAATATAAAATCTAAGGCCACACTTGTCTCCCATATCACATATGGGATGTCTTCAACCAATTTAGCCGATGGCTAGTGTGACCCCGTTACTGTTCGTCTCTCAAAAGAGCCAATCTTATGAAGCCTTGATAGCGACTTGCTCTACATGTGTTCTGACGTTAGATATGCTTATATCCATTTCCAGTGGTAGATGTGACGACATGACGGTGGGTGGCGTCACGCAATTTCAGGCTCGGATATGTTATTTCCGATTGAATCTTGCGGGGACCCTGCCAAGAGCGTCGTTGTTTATTGCCATAATTTAAGATGCAAGTGGATGAAGGAGGTATCACCAGAGTTTTCAATTTGATATAGACAAAATCGTGTGGCTCCTTGCGGTGGATGCAGAACGATGTATCTTACATGCAGGATCTGTCAAACTTGGATCGTGTAAGCCGGTCGCCGTCAAATAGTTCTTAAATTCATATTTGCCGTTTCAATAGGCTCCATCGCTCAGAAACAGGCGTTGTTCACCCTTCTTGGATCGAAGTCGACCGTGGCATTTGAAAAAGGGTCACGTACAAGGGACTGCAAGCGGACAAGGAAGCTATGCATGTACCGCAGCTCCGACCACCTTCGCAATGATATAAATTCGGTTTTTTGTGTCAAATCTCAAGCCGTAACCAAGTTTGACGCGTCTGAAAGACGGAAAGCAAATTTACGTACAGATTAGACCCACCCTGTAGTCATTCCACTGTTGGCCCGAGCGACAACAAATGACGTCTTAAGCTTCCTGTGCGGTTTTGTGTCGCACATGTGTGCGTGGAAGAAAGCACATTGTGCCCGAGTCGACAAATTAAAAAAAAGAAAAACACGTTTAAACTGTAAACTCATAAAAACGCTGTACCAGTGCCATGGTCAAACACAAGAAAATGCTTGTCAAGCACACAAAAAGGTCGCGGCGTCTTGACTCCTCGTCATCAATTCTCCGCAATTATACCATCAGTGGTCGTAATTACCTTTTTACGCAGCTCAAAAAATGACGTGGAGAGAAGAGATCTTCATTCGAGTTCAGGAGCTCCCATCATGACGACCACGAAGTTCTCGCTCCTCATCCCCCTGTGTCTAGCAGCCCTGGTGCTACTTGCGCATGCCGATTCGACTCCCACGATCACCACCCAAGTGTACTTCGATGTAGAAATCGACGGTCAACCCGAGGGTCGCATCGTCATGGGTCTCTACGGCGAGGTCGTTCCTAAGACGGCAGAGAACTTTCGTGCCCTGTGCACGGGGGAGAAGGGCGTTGGCAAGAGCGGGAAACCCCTCCACTACAAGGGCAGCATCTTCCACCGCATCATTCCCAATTTCATGGTGCAGGGTGGCGACTTTACTGACTTCAACGGCAGAGGGGGTGAGAGTATTTACGGCACCAAGTTCAATGACGAGAACTTTGACCTGTACGTTCTAATTGGAGATTTTATTATTTCTAGAGAAAAAAGATTATTTTACTAATTTTTTGTCCGGTTTGTGCTGGCTTGTGTAATTCAGGAAACACGCAGGTAAAGGCACGCTCAGTATGGCAAACTCGGGAGAAAACACCAACGGCAGCCAGTTTTTCATCTGCACGGTCAAGACTTCATGGCTGGACGGTCGCCATGTCGTCTTTGGACGCGTCGTGCAGGGCATGGATGTGCTGAACGCCATGGAAAAAGTGGGGACTCCAGGCGGTACCCCTTCGAAGGTGGTGACTATTGTGGACAGCGGTGAGTTGGCCCCTGAGGCGTTTGTCGAGGCCGAGGAAGACTAGGTCGGCATGGCGACGGACTCAACGACGTTCAGCCAAAATGAGGTCGCTTGTGCAAATGACCGTGTCCTGATGTTGGGTGGCTTGAGCAATGCTCTGTCGAGACCAGTAGGATGCATCAATCCAGTTGATCGTCAGTCGAATAGATTCGGAAGTCCCAGTAGATCATAGTGATGGAGGCCGTCTAAACTCGATTTATAACTTTGCCGGATCCGTTTGTGTAGCTTGTACTTCATCATGAATAAGGCAGGGAAAGTGGCCACAAGTTGTGTCAGTTGCGACATCTATCGTGCGTGAAATCGTATCATTGTAGGTAGGCAGCCGTCTGGATATCATTGTGCCGCTGCCATCAGACGCGGGACTCTCTTAATTAATACAGAAGCGGAGGGGTTGCTGCTCTGACCGTCTCTGTTAAGTATTCGCTACTTACGAAGCCAATCATTTTTATACATTTGATGATACAGCCATCCGCGTTTATCGGGTTAGATATTGGTAACAAAAAAAGGTGATGGAGGTCAGCCCCGCTAACAAAACAAATTTTTACATCGTCCACTGGACGGGCAACTGTACAAATTCAAACAAAGGATTCGACTCGAAGTTGACGAAGGAATCATCCAGCGCACGTGAACGTGCACACAGAATTGATTTGCACCCAATGGGCTTTGAGGTATTGTACGAATGCGTAATTTAGAGTTGCGAGGATATTTACCACGGTGAAGTTAACGCTGGACACCGGTATTAATTATCTACCAGGTCTTTCTTGTAGGTTTTAAATGAGATGAGCTCATATCTCAAGTTCCTGCGTCCTCCGCGCAACAAATTTCTAAATCTTCTCACTGCGTCGTTATTGTGCAGTTTGCTAGTATTACATGGTGCGTCTCTCCTTAAACTCATGGTTACGGATGAAAATACGAATTACAAACTAAAAACACGTTGACATGGCCGAGCGATGTGTACGGATTCGGTGGACCCGGAAATTTGTTAGATTCTAATGGAAGCAAGATGAGATTTTCGGCCAGCTGATGTACGCAATGAGTTTCTTGAAGATCCTAAGAGGTGACACATGTAGTAACGTTACACTGTTAATGAGTAGCGAACAAGATAGTTCACCAACAAACAAATAAACTATCAGGCAATTTCTGATCCGTACTTCAATTTTTGCTTTCTAACCTTTATAGGCGTCAAACTTGGTTACGGCTAATGATTTGGCACATGAAAATGAAATCATGTTATTAAGAAGGTGGTCGGAGCAGCAATGCATGCAAGGCTTCCTTGTCCGATTGCAGTCCCTTGTACATGACCCGTTTTCAAACGCCAATGTCAATATAGATCCCAAAAGGTGGTATCGCTCGTGTCTGAACGACGAAGCTTATTGGAACGGTGAATATGAATTAATTTTTTTTGAGCAATCCGCTTACGCGATCCAAGTTTGACCGATTTTGTATGACCTCCTTGCATCCAACGCAGAACGACACCCCCCGCGTACATTGTCGTTGCCATTCTGAGTCAAACTAATGTCTCCCCATTCCACTTGCATTAAAATTACGGCAATGTGTGACGATGCTCCTGCTAGCGTCCCACACAGTTTAATCGAAATAAAGCAAATCTGAGCTAAACTCGCTCGACTCCACCCCCGTCATGTCGGCATACGTACCAATGGCAATTGATCCAAGCCAATTTAATTGTAAGAATACATCGAGAGCCAGTACCTTTCAGGCCCTCATAAATCCATCTTCTATATGGTGCAAACGGCATATGTCGACCTCTAGAGGAAGACATGTTAAAAGTACAAAGCTCTTCAGATCACACGAACAGCTACAAGAAAAGCAATGCCCAACACCTAGACCTCCATAGGATACGACGGAGTGTGTTGGAGCAGGTGGGAAATGTTATGATTTTGAAGACGATAACACGTCAAGCATTTTTACCGTTCACAAACGTATTACATGGACAGTGTAGCAGGATTTACTCGCCCGCTTCAACGTGCAGACAACCACGGACCGACACAAACATGCAGCAGCACATAAATGTCCTTCCCAAAAGCATGATCACGCTAACAGGCTCTATAATTATAATTATCGACATCATTTTGCATAGCCATCCAACAGCTAAACTTATATCATGCCGGTCGCATGATCGGCAATAGTTGGAACGGTACTCATGAATTGCATAGGGAGACTGCAACGCACATTTTCTTAGATGGACCTAGCACAAAGCGTAAATGATGTGAAGTTAATCAAACACTAGGCTAGCGTGAGCGCAGGGTGCCCGGTCATATTGAAGCACTTGGGTCACTGCACCATACGCCAATCTCCAACGATGCCTAAACGTCGGTTTCTGCGCTTGCCAAACATTTCCACAAAAATGCCATGACAGCCAGAAAGGAATTCAAACGCACTTATGAGCACGCGCTTTAGCCGAAATGCAACGGTATTTAAGCAGTAGCTAAGAGCATCTCGAAGTACTGAGAAATCGTTCTTTTTCAGTTGTCGGCTATATCAATAAGTGGCCACCGTCTGCAGCAACAGCAGTACGCGATTGCCGGTTCCGCGCATTTTCTTGTTGAATTATCAGAAGTTCCATGAGGGAACCCAGCTAGACGTTGGTAATTCTTTTTCACGTGCTCCATCCGACGCTTGAGTCTTGGATCAGGACCTTTCAGGATCTCGTACTCTTTAACTTGTAATTTAGAGAAGTGTATGAAACTCCCACTCCTGGTTCCTTGTCAGTCAACCTTTTCACTAGCTTGTACAGGGCTTCATATTGTGTAGCTAAACACACCACATCTATTTGCTTTCACCCACGCTCAAATTGTGGCAAACGTTATCATGTTCAAGCTGACCGGAAATATACTCTCTAAGGTAGAACTTCCGTTGCCACTAAAAATTGAGCACAAACCCGATTGAAAGCATCCAACAGAGAGTGCAGCAACGACGATATAGATAGTTATAGAGGCATTCAATGTCAAAACGGCGAGAACATTTGTGAGGAAGAAAGTTTATTTGCACACTCTGCAGATATCAAACAATAAACTTGACTTTCGCTTCTGTGTCTGTCCACCCCATCTCGAAGGACAAAAAGATCCTAGGGTTGCCGGGGAGGGTTGTTTAGCTTCACCCGGATTCACAGTTAATGGCAGAAAAAGTACGCACTCATGTAGACCACGATTCGAACCTGGAAATTATGTGCACGTACAACAAGCATTTAAGAGTGCGAAAGGTGTAGAAGACTTGGAGCGCTGGGTAGGTTAATGTGGTTGGTAAACCCGAATTTACATGGAGCCGGTAGACAGCAGCTTACCGACTACCTTCTTTCAAGCGTTTTCGGATACTGTCTTTTCGTAGCAGTTCCCGTCAAAACAGCAAACGAGCATACGACGATCCATAGACAGGCTACGGCAAAATGGTCACGAAAAAAAAGAAAGAAGTGTCGTCTCATTTTCGATGCAATGGTACAAAGCTCTGGTCCCTCTGTGCCTAACACTTCAGTTGCAGTGGTTGGAACTGCTGCAATCGTGCGTGTCGCCCACTAGAGCTGAACGCTATCGCGGGGCCAGCACCAAATATTACGGATGAAGTTTATGAAGACTTCGAAACATCTGCTGCTCCGATTTATACACACCGTTTGGTAGTATTGATCGTATCCACGCCGCCTAACAATAAAAATATGGTGTTAAAAGTGCTCGCTATGACGTCGACGGTAGATAAACAGGCTAAGCAGCTATTCATGGCGTGACGGTAGTAAGTCGGCTAGAGCTCGTAACAAGACGTGTGTTGTTGAACATACAAGAACTTTTTGCGTCCTGAAAATTAGGCTTTTACTAGAAGACAACAGACAGAGAAGCAATGCTTCTGGGCTCATGCATTGGCGCGGCTGCCTTCATGCATGTCTATCGGGAGTATTTCGTTTCTGGCTACGCTGGAATTACCTGGATGCATTCAAACTAATACAAGGCGATATTGCCTGAAAGCGTCTACAGCACAAGCAAGGGTTATGCGTTTCCCAGGTCAATGACAGGAGAAGCGCAAGACTCAAATTTGAGGCTCAAGAATAGTTCCGCTGACAATTTTTTAGGTATTTATTACAGCAGCCGCGCACTGCTGATACAAGCTTCGCTAACGTAAATAGCTGTTTATGTCAGTTCATCAACAACGATACCAGCAGATTCACATAAGCGTTTAGTGTACCCGAATGCACGTTTTGTAGCTACTCCGCTACTTTTCCGATGCATCTGCCAAGGATAAGCTGTAACACAAACACGTCCATTCAATGTGAGCAACGGATAGTAGAAGAGATGACATTCACACCACCGTACCTTTTCACCTGGCTTGATGTTGAATTGGAACGACTCGGGAGCCTCGAAGACCAAGACGACCGTTGAGCCCAGCTAATCATGTCTTAGTCAGTTACTTATAAAACCAGAGTGAGGTGATTATCGTACCTTGAACTGCGCCATTTCCTCGCCACGTGCAGCATTTAGCTTGTTGCCATAGTGATATGTACAGCATTGACCTACCAGTTGGTCCTGTACGACAGTATTGCTAGAGAAAGCAGGTTCCTTCGTGATGACAACGGAACCCACATTCGTGGCACCAACAGCAGTGAGAGAAAAGAAGCCGTGCTTCCATTCGCCAAGCAGGGCTACTCGCTCGTTTTCCACAAAAAGACTCGGGATTAGTCGCGCTGCAACCTGATTAACAGGAAAAAGATTCCCAGGAAAGTGGCGGCGCTCCTCAACTTGCCAGTCCACGGGAGCGTGGATACGGTGGTAGTCTCCTGGCGCAAGGTACAGTACGCAGTAAAACATCTTTTTACCCTCGGACGCTGACGACTTTTTCGAGAAATACGTTGGAAGGCCACCCAGAAACTCGTCTAGTCGGTACCGTGCACCTTTAATTTGTTCCAATGTCGGCACATTGTAGGTATCGTCCACCTCACCGACAGAGGCGACTGTCCCATCAACGGGACTAGCAAGATGACTTGGAACCGTATCAAACGGACGTACGCCATCCTTTAGTGGCCGCGAGAAGAACTCGCCAAGATTGGCATATTCCTGGATCGAGTACTTCATCTCGTCCAGATTGCAGTTAAAAACGGCGGTCCATGCCTTGTACACAGGTGCTCGCAGCCACGTTGGTCTAATAGAGAAACACCCAAAAACACAATGACATAATCAGAATGACATGTTGAGCTCCGACCCTGTGAAAGTTGATACTGTCATCGTTCATACAAATCCTTATCGTGTACTGCTCCCCAGAGTCGACTGGCAGCTCGGTATGGAAAGAGCTTGAGCGCTTGGAGCTGGCGTTCCGTCGCCATTGTAGCTTCGAACGCTGTTTGACTACCAGGAAGACGACGTAGCGCCGCAGCTGGATAAGTCTTGCGCTCCTCATCTGTCGGGTGGTTCAAATGCTGCCATTGGAGGAACCCGATAAAGGCGAAGCCCAATGTAGCTGGGAGTTTCCAGCTTCCAGCAAAGATGTTCCGAATTCCAGTAGTATTCGGTGCCGAGCGGTTGGAGTTGGTGACCAGCCGCTGCGGCTGGTGCGGCAAAAAACGAGGTCGCGGCTGCTGCTTGACTGTCCTTATTTGCCGGCAGAACATCTGGAATGGCGGATATTTCAATGTCAGGGATCAATTATAAGAAGAGTTCGCAGCTTTATTTGAGCGACGGGTGAGAAATACGACATCATTATTGAACAGCAAGAAGTGTACCGTATTTATGGTACTATTCACGCCAGCCAATCATGAGATCGACAAGAAGGATCGAGTGCTAGAAAACGAGGCGTTGACACTTTGAGACGATGGATTCTTGGGGTGCGTTTCTGCTAATCGCTCTTTATACGCGCTGACGTGTTCATCTGTTATCGATCAGGACTGTTCCTGCACTTGTGTCAAAAGGCTCCTTGTCCTAATCATTGCTTTTGAATGCTCGTACGATCTTTTTGTTGCGGTGATTCTGATGATCTCCAGATGACGATGAATTTGAAGTGCCGCCAGTCACGCAGCCGCAAATAAGTCCAGCCACATGGGAGGATGAAGAGGCAGAAGACGAGCCAGTACCTGCTGTTAAACCAGACCTTCCTGCTGCCACGAAGGCTCTTCCGAAGCCTAAGCAGCTCAAGAAAATGAAGCTGAAGGAGATCGAGGAGAAGCAAAAGATGGACATCGCCTTTGCCAAGGCGCGTCTTGCAGCACAGACCGATGAGACGGATGAACAGCGTCGGGCTCGTGAAAAGGCTTCAATTGAGGAGGCAGACTTTGAGATGGCTATCGATGCCTTCGCTGGCGTCCCGTCCAAGCCGACAGCTGGTGTCACTAACGATGTGGACGCCAACGTATCGGCTTTTCGGCTGCTTTCGCTTGCCGATCACGAACAATTTGGTGATGTTGTGTCCACTCGGTTGGCAGCCTCTAACTCCAAGTATGCACTCGAGTGCATCAAAGTGATCCTTACGAAGGCTTCTGTAAATTTGACAGCTGACGACATGAAGGAGATTACGACTGTTGTGAATGTCGTCAAGAATGAGAAGATTGCGGCAGCTAAGCCTAAAGGAAAAAAGAAGAAGCAGACTGGCAAGCAAGGGTACGCCAACGTTGAACGCGGTGTTGGTAGCAGTGGGGGCAAGGCCTTTGCCGGCTACGAAGACACTTATGACGACTACGATGACTTTATGTAGACGCCTCGATGCAATTTTACCACTTGTTGACCTAAAGCCCGAAAGGTTGGCGCTTTATTTGTGTCTCTTGCAATGTTTTGGAGGTATATATTCTGAATGGTATCTCGGTAATCGCAATAAATTTTTAATCGGCCACAAATGGGAAAGCAAACATTTCACTTAAGCGACATTCATTTGGGCGGGCCGTGAAAAGACACGACTTACCAGACAAATTAAACATGTTGTCAGTAAAAAAAACTTGCTAAATTAGGCATATGAACCCCCTTATGAGTAGATTAACATCCTTCTTTTACGTTAAGTACACACTCCGCTCAAAGTTTTTTAATCGGTCCATTTGGTAAGTAAGATTTGAGCGTTGTGTACATCATCGATCGGACTCGATGGATTTTGTACAATTTATTTAAAAGGAAAATAAACACCATCTGCAGTCAGCTCCCAATATAATATGCCTGTTTGTCCACCCTCAATTTGGATCTTGGAGAGAAGGATGATATATTAAAAGATGTTACAGAGGAAGCTATCTATAAAAATAAATGTAAACTAATAAAAAATAAATTAAATACACCTAAATTTTTTGCGAAGAACGTACAAAGATCTAACACCACTTAAAAGGTACGTTGATAGTTTTAAGCAACAAGAATAGAGAAAAAGTTACCACAAGCTTTAAATACTTGTGTAATGAGGCACACAAAATGCCAATGGTGTGTCTAAAATATAAACCAATGGCTCCAAGTCGGTCGTTTAGTGTTTGTATATTTAGCATAAACGAGCGTGTCTGGTAGACTCTTTCTTTGCTCATGACACGGCAGCTTCCGCATCGATGGCTAGTCTCGCATCCAAAGTCTCTTCTGAGCTGCACAAGAGAGACAACAGACTAACAATTTCATCGTTTCACACGAAAAGCACTATTTGTAATCTAAATAAGCAAAAAGATGTGTACATATTAATAGGGTATCAATCTGGCAGTTAATGTTGGCCTTAACCTGTATCGGGGCACCCTTTGTTTGGTTGCCATAAAACTTCACGTATAATCGTACGTCCAGAGAGAGCTATTCTACTTAAATCACTAGTTTGAGTAATTAAAAAAAAGGAAATTGTGTTTGATGTAGTTAATCTATCAATATAACTTCGGTCTTTATCTAACTATATTACACCGTATTGTCGTGTGACGACAATCTGCTCACCACCCATTACGCGCGATTTGTACAACCCATTTAAATATCAGTTCGTTAGAAGCCAAATAAATGGGATCAAAAACGTTGAATCGATGTAAGTTGAGCTCAAGGCTCGATTTTACCTATTAAACTTAATCAAGACAAATTTAATGCGTAATCTTACATAGAGCGCTTACGAAATCTTACGAGTAGTACTTGAGCAAACAAACTACATAAGCAAACTTCGGTTTAGTGATCCTGCAAGTTCTTACAGATAGTTCCGTCATGACCTACCTGTGTCTCTATATATTTTCAAATAGCGATTGGTGGTAACCTTAATTGAAATGCCAATCTTCGAGCAGCGCATGTATGTCGTAAGGGGATAATTTTCCTTCAAAAGTATCCATCTCGGATAATGTTGGTAGGGAATTGTCACGCTAGAAACTTTTCCTATTCTTCCCGACATCATTAAGTTGAACTCATTTTGGCTTCTGGATGCGTCTGGACTAGAAGACACAAGAGAAGCCATCAGTGCGTGTAGCAGATTATCCCTATCGGAAAGTTCTCACGATCCCATTACCTTTTGGTCGAGGATTTTCATAGCGTGGTGTGTCGCGACCCATCCTAACCTTCTGACAGAGGTGTCCGTCTTTAAAAAACGTGGTTTCTAGAACCAAAAACTGTGCCACACGACAGTGGACCTTGCCAAAGGAGAGATAAGATGTCGTGGATAATTTAGAGCGTGCGAAGCATGAGGCAAGTACGGTACATAAATGCAAATATCTGCATTTGGCACCTACATTTTGTGTAAAATTAGATGAAGTGGCGTATTGTGCAAGCTTGTAACAAGCTTTCTGAGTCCACAATTCCTGCACTGTAGTGGAGATACACAGCTCTTAGTCAGAGGAAGTCTTAAGACTCTAGAATTTGCTCAGTTCTACGGAACTACGTTCTTGTCAGTTTATGGAGTATTTTTAGAATTTAATTTACAACGAATTGAACGGTTGCTAAGCTTGTAGAGCCTCCAGTCTAGTCCTGGATTTGGGAACTAATGACGACTCTAGGAATCGTACGCACAATGTGATTTCGATCATACGCCTCAAGATGGATTTTACTCGTCCTTACTGACGTCTAAACTACACACGTGTCATTCGAAGATCAAAAAGGGTATAAGCCTTTATTTCTTAGTTTGATCTGTAATGAACCTCATCCAGCTACCTAATACTTAGGTTACATTAATTTGCATTGTAATATTTAGGCTGTTAAAGATTGATGGATAAAACATCAATCTGTCATCAGTGAATGACTGAGGTTATCAGCCTCATAAATTATCACAGATAAAGCTTAATTTAATATCACGTACACAAGGTACATCCCTCCAGGACGATAACGGACGTGTGAACCCGTTACATGTACAGAAACCCATTCCTTGGAAGGGCATTCTCTAAAACAACACGTTTTTTTAGTATGTTTCGTGCACTCGACTTTGTCGACCGATGACAGTTGTACCAGTTGGATTGCGTGATTCATCGTTAGACAGGGCAAAGTAAGATTCGTGATCCCTCACCTAAAAATCACGATTCTGACTTAGGATCATGATCCGGACCTAGGATCACAATCCGGACCTAGGATCACAATCCGGACCTAGGATCACGATCCGAACCTGGGATCACGATCCGGACCTAGAATCACGATCCGAGGTCAAATGGTGAAGACATTTCTCGGGTGGACCACAAGAAGATTCGACTGCTGATACACCTGATGCGGGCAACACCAACACGAGAGGACGATATTCCTGAAATGGTGACGTGTGGCATCCGGTTAGGATAGACGGATAAGGCATAGGGGTAGGTTATAGGTTGATTGATTAGCATTAAAGATAATTCGATCTACTTTTAAATACGCACGCAATCTATTCCGGGCAGAAGCTTTGGTCTCCCGATGTTAAATAGTCGCGTAACCCTACCATATAAGTGTCGCACCTGGATTGTTTGGCCAGGTGCGCTCAAGAATTTTTAGGTAACTACAACTGCGATCGGATGCAGCAAGACACGTTAAGGCAAGGCACAAGATCGCAAGACGGCTCAAGTGGTCAGAAGACTTGCGTATTAAAAACCCACACAGTGGGCAAGGCGGTCTCGTTAAAACACAGGGTAAAATATATATCAGTGCCCCACCGATACCCCAGTGATCGCGCGAAGATTTCCGCCCTATCACACAAACCCATCCCCAACACGTTCAAGTTTTATTCTCGACCAGAGTCCACTTGTAATAGTACAACCCACCCTACCGACGGGTAAACAAGGTGAGGAAAGCGATACACACGGAATCGGAGTACCCCCTCCGTTAGTCGATTATCTATGCGCCAGTGGAGAGTCGGGTCGTCTCGAGCGTTAAGCAATCACCACTCCACTACAATGGTGCGCGTGCCCGAATCTTCTGGTGACTCAATATTCACCGTAAAATCCGAAATGAAGAGGTTAAATACAAGACTGAACCTGGGATGGAAGCGTTAGAGGCAAAAAAATTGCTGCAGAAACTTAAATTAAAGGATCCCCCGATTTGCAGAGTTTTAGGAGGGGCTCGGATAACAAGAAAATGAAAGAGGAAGATCGATTTTTTTTATTTAAAAGATAAAGCTCAAACCCCTTTCAAGATCCTATCGGGGACGACCGCGGATCGTGCTGCAAATCACGATCCGCTGGGTGAAAATCCTTCCGCGAAAACTGAGCAAAAACTACACATGACCACTCCGAAAATGTCGAAGATAAAGATAGTGAAGACGACTGAGTGAAGAAAAAAGCTTCCAAATTGTAGCAACATTATTTCGTTGCGAAATCGATCGACAGACCGATTAAGGACGTGGACGATGCTTTCTATATGAATATTAAAGCTGGCAGTTGCATCAATGGCGCAGAGATACTATTGCAAGGCGCTCAAGAATCTGCTATTGAGATACCCCGTGTTAAAGATATTGAAGCACAAGCTAATTGGAGAAATTTAAGGTTTAATATCCCTACCGAAGGCGGCACTTGACTAGCTCGAAGGCATCAACGCGGTCATGTAGCTAGTTCAGGATGCTGGATACGTAGCTGGGATGTTCGATGCGTAAAATCTTCTGGAGTGAGACCAAGATCAGGTGATCCACGCGTGTCGATCGCAATATAACAAGTTGGTTCCCTGCCGGTAAAGCGAGAATCCACGGATCAAGCTATTGCTACTATCGCAGATGCCCCGAGAAGTTACCATACTGGATTGTCGCATTACGCTTCGGCGGAATCCGATATGGAGTCGGACGATTTGGTAGGTATGTAGCGGTTGTCTTTAGGCCCAAGTGGAGCAGCACATCTACGTGATCGTGTGGAGATGATAAAGATCGAACCGCGATCTACTATCACTGGAGCTAAAGTAATAATGAAGTCAACTAGGCAAGTAAACCTGCAGACATACCTCGATGAGGCCTTAAAACGTTTTCAGCAAGATCAGAGAGAGCTGGCACATAAAGCGATCTAACTAAGCCAACAGATCTAGCCTATTAGAGTCCAAGAAACACATAACCCAGATGACAAGATGAAATCGGTGCGATCGCACATCGACCGATCGGAGTTCTTCGATTTTGATGATGCTGATCCCAACGAATCAGGGCAATAGGAGCGGCGACGTGCGATTGTGGCCACCAAAGAGACGAATCAGAAAGGTGGTGCAATCTGCAGCGCATTCTGGTGTCGGCAATTACAGAGCTGAAGGAACTCAGTGGCAAAGATTGAGACGACGATCGAGCCAAAAGCTATATCAGCAAAGTCAAGACGGCGTTCCTGAGCGATCAGGCTCCCGATGAAGAAACATGTGTGGTGCTCGGCGATTTGTTAATAGAAACTGCGCGAGACTTGTACAAACATCTGAGCCGATCTATCCGGCACAAATGGTAGCAATTGCCAATTTGTTTTATGCTACAATATGGTAGCAAGGTGTGTCTCTCAACAGACAATAATATCTTGCGCGGACGCGAACGAATGAAAAACCTGCTGGAGTATCTACACCATCTCAACATCGCAGCCAAGAACGCTAAGATCGTGATAAAAGAAGAGAAAATGGCTACCGCGTCCACGCGTCACTAATGTGTGGAGCTTTTCGTCGGCATGCTCGATGATCGCGATCTAGCAAAACATCTAACTCTGTTGCTATTGGTAGACATTGATGAAATGGAAAAAAACCCTCCGTGCATGCCAACGGATAATCAAATCGTCAAATAAAAGCGTCGTCAGGATCGAACAGATTTTATCAGCGGGCGACCGCGCCTTTAAATCCAATGTCATTCAAGACAGCCCAGGCTGTTAGGGCAATCTGCGAGAGAGTCGAAAGTAGTGGATCAGAACTAGACTCAATTGGATCCAATGAAGGCAAGGATGTCGCCGAGCGTGTGTGACTACTACGCCTGATTAAGAAAAATTGGACAAGGATCAGCGTGCTTGGCATAGGAACACTGATGAAAGAGATAGGTGTGATTGAAGTGGAAATACGAAGGCGTGTACCTAATGTGGATCTACCAGACACAACGATCGGGGATGTTGGCAGAGACTAACGTGCCAGAAATGTGGCCGCAAAGGACAGCCATCGGAAAGGTGTTTCTATGAATGTGCATCTTGCGGAGAGGTTAATAGGAATGGCAAGTGCCACATGGAATTAATCTTTAACTTGATCCGCAAGCGGTATGTGCCTACCAAACACGCGGGGAAGTTTCTACCAATGTGGGTGAAATGTTAAACTAGGACACTCGCCAGTTAAGAATTTGGCACGAGCCGAGCGTTCAAGGCTATGCATGCATTTATTTGTTGAGAAAAGGTGGAAGGATCAAAGAGTTAAGGTTTGGCGCGATCCGATTACTTAAATATTTTATCAGTCTGCATTTGTTAGTTTTATATTAAGTGTGAATTGAGTGGACAATTATACCCGATCCCCCGTGAACATGGAGCTCGATCTTGCACCAATGGAGTCAAGGGGATACTGGAAGTATCATACTCCAGGAAAGTGGCTCAAGCAATCGAAAGCAGTCGGCGAGATTAACAAGGGGAAGGAAACTGTGCTGTTTGATTCTGAAGCGGATAAATCGATCATCGACACAACCTTTGCTCGTTAGGTAGGACGTATGATTGACGAGAGCCAAAAGCACGAATGTGTAGGAATCGAGGAGAGTGCATCCATGACGGTAAGGCGGACCAATATCAAACAACACTGGACGGGTCACACTTATACTATTTTGATGTCTGATTTAGTGATCAGATTGGTCAAGAAGCCACACTAGGTGTGGACTGCATGATTTGGCAGGCATTCGTTTGGGACGGCCGACGAAACCCTGTGTTTACCAGATGAAGTCCGGATCGCTTTGGCAAGACGGACTCCACCATACCGATCGAATATAACGGTGAGAGGGTCAAATCTGTATCCAAGAGGTAACTCGGTAGAATTACACCACCCGCGAAGTTTTTGTTAGCCACTGACGACCCCTTAATTGTATATATTTTTCAATATGACCAGGTCTGTGTACTTAACTCCTGGAGAAAAGTATCCCCACCGACGGTTGCCGCCACTTCGTGCTGCTTGGGTCTCAGCGTTTTGTGGAGAAAGTAGCTGAATAATAAAATCTTAGCGTCGCCGACTCAGAAACATCGGTGTTATGTTTGGATCTCGTATTTTATCGTTTGTAAACGAGATTGTAAATTACCTCTGGAAACAGTGAATATTAAATTTCACCTTATCCCAAAGAAAATTATGACCCACAGAGATAAACAAGGAAGGAATATGGAGGGAAGCAGATCAGGTCTGCTAGGTCCACAAGCAAAGATGACGGATGTCACAGAACGCCAGATCGTGAAAGAGGATCGCGCTGACAGCGACGGGCAGCGATCACTAAAGGCACCTGCCGTGGTCAATACCGCAGTGAAGGCAGAAGAAGGCTATCTGTCACAGGAACACTCGGACGACGTAATCAGACAAGCACAAGAGATCGCGATCGGAGATGATCACCCGGTCGAAGACGATCAAGAGCTCGAATTGTCAGATCGAAAGATACAGAATGCTACGGGTCTGAATCGCGAGGGAGATGTGACAGACGAGACTCAAACGAAATCGGTAGTTTATCGCCACGATGGTGGGGATTTATTTGCGGAAGATGTGGAACAACATATGGCACTCTTGCCAGATATAATTGCGCCCACAAAGAAAGTGGCTATACATGACATCCAGGTTGGCGATCCAGGTGTCCCGCTGACAGACGATCAGGAGAAGCTGAGGCAACTGATTTACAAGAATCGCCACTTACTCATAGGAAAAGAGAACGCCTTGCCTCCAGCTGCGCGTGGAGCAGTATGTGACATTGATGTTGGAGGTGCCAAACCGATCGCGCAAAGAGTACGACCGGTGGCACATAAATATCGAGAAAAATTGGCGGACCTGATCAAGGGATTATTATCAGCCAAGATCATTCAACCGTCCATTTCACCTTGGGCTTCTCCGATCGTGGTGATTATCAAGAAAAATGGGGAGGACATACGGCTGTGCATCGATTACAGGGCGGTGAATCAGCTGACAAGATTGATGATACCCTATGCCACTGATCAGCAAATTATTACAAGACTTGGATAAAGCGATGTGGTATTGTTCTTTAGATATGGCGAGTAGTTTTTGGGTAGTGGAAACGACGGAACGAGCAAGAGCATTTTCTGCATTCATCACGCCGTCGGGTTTGTTTAAATGGTTGCGAATGCCTTTTGGGCTAAAAAACGCTCCCCAGATATACCAAAGACTTATCGACGATGCACTATATGGTTATCTCAAGATAGACCCAACACCGAACTTGCATGCAGTACCATCGTCGACACCAACCGGTGTGTTCACTGACGGAGTGCCGGACACAGATCCTAGGCTTAATGGAACAAATTACAGTATTGCATAGGGTGAGCCGATTTTTTTAACGTGGGGGTGGTTAACATTTCCCCTTACAGGCCACCAACTAAAAGTAAAAATAATAAAATCAGCATAACATAACAAATATTAGGTACCAGATGATCTCTAAGACTGATGTACCCATTTTCACTCAATAACTTCGTTATACTTTATCTCTCGACCGGATCGAATAGAGATTTTACATACACCATCAAGTGAATGGAATTATACAGTCAATATCTCTAACATTCTATCGAGGACTACGACTGTCGGCAATCGAACCGATTCGATCTTAAAAAAATGATGATTTATGGTTAAGACTTTAGCATCGTGTATTTATTTCTTTATTCGACCGATTTCTTCCATGGAATACCTGACTGCCTTCCATAATATGTTCTGGATCGCGGTATGATCTGATATCATAAATTGCGCTTCAGATCTTGTAAAAAATTAGTTCTTGTGATCGAGGTACACCCAGCGAGTCTAATTTATAAAAAAACGTCTAGCAACCATCTGAAAAGTACGAATAGATTGCGAGGTTCATAGTAAATTATTCATTGTCGCTCAAGTTTTTTCAAACGACCATATCAATCGCATTGTTCAAGCAAATAGACAGCCATCTAATCAGCCAGCTCCTTTCGATAAGCTCTAAGGGCTTTAAGTGACATAATGACCACGGTAATTAACCTTACGGCTTCGCATCGTCCGTCTGTCTTACTGACCGATGATCCTTACTTATCAACGATCACAAATTTATTAGTCGTTATTTCTTTCTTGAAAAAGACGTCCATTTTGTTGCTTATATCTAATATCGTCGATGTATGCTGACTGAAATTAGAGTTAAGATCTGGATTTGGGTGTCCGGTTGAAGATTAGAACCTAGTTTGAATGACTTTGACAAAGTTACAATATGTACATACTTCAGGTATCTGTTTAATGCGCCTTCAATAAAGCGTTGTTTTTACTCAATTAATCGTCACAGACGTTTCTTTATGTAGGTCGAATAAAATTCAGAAAAGCACATTTTAAAATCGTCCATGGTCATTTTTACTAGTTAAGCCGATCCCAGCTACGATTTACATGTGTTCACACACGCCCTAGTAATGCACATCAACGCTCCTGTGATTGAGCTTCAAGTCTTTTTTGTCCGCAATCCTTTGTATGGTTCAAAGAAGCTGTTTAAATTCATGGTAGCATCAGAATCTATGACCGACCTTGGACAAACACTGCACTTCGTCAAAATCGGAGAGATCTTATTCTTGACTGTGATTTCTGCTCAAAATGCATTTTTAAAGATCTGATCTCTCTAAAACTAGACCAAACCGGTCAGCGTATTTGTACGTTGGATAAAGTCGATAAACTCGCCGATCGTAGATCCTACAAGATTAAAAAATTATCAGATCACAATCGGCTTTCTTGAAAATTGTGCACAGTAGGACCCGCTTCGTTAAATCTATACAGGAAAGGATCTTCGCCGCACTTTCAATCATTTCAATTTGTGTTCATTTTGGACAGCTTATATATTCGTTTAATTAACTTATCATGAGCTACCTAGCAGCGGTCAAGCGTGCTCTTCCATTTTTTTTTCTTTCTGATGCGCTTTGATTTAAACGCGATCTTGTCGCAAAATAGTTGCTTCGACATTCGACTGAGACGTAGCATAGGAATTGGTTATCACGCCAGCTACCACCCAACACAATTATAGGATTGTGCAGACGATTATCGATCACCGATCGGTAGTTAAATTAGGCTGCCGATACTTACGACCAACCCTATTTTGGCAGACCTTCAGATCTATCCGTAATTAAAGCTTAGCTTTCGGGTTGCCAACGCTTATCGAAACTTCTGTCAAGCAACTTACTAGGATCACAACACTTTTATTCTCAACTGCGATAGTTAATTGAGGAGTTCATCGGCCAGCTAAAAACTTTTCAAAGTTATCCGGCATCTAAAAATTCAATCTATTAGATCCTGACGAATTCCACTTCAGCCGTGTGAAAATCTTAGGACCAACTCTTTATCGAATTAATCGGCCTCGGTATAAAGATTTTACTTTACTTTTTGATTGAAATGATAGTAAAAGTGCGGAAATCTGAATATAGTGTACGGACGCGTTGAATCTGGATTGCAGATTGCTCCTTTAGCTCATTAAAAGCACATTTGATCGTGATCGGGAAACCTATAAAGGTCGTGCTCACGCATGAAATTCCCCACCCCAGTTTCATTCTAAATTTCATATTACACCGTCCACATATTTGTACTTTTTTTAATTCCATTACTGACAGGGATGTGAGTGACCTACCGATGTCAAGTGACCAGTACAATTGTCCGGTCAGTTGCCATTATCACTTAAATAAAGTGACCGAAAGTGATTCATGTACTAATGCCATCATTAAAGTGGCTGTGACCAATTTGACTTGCATACACATGTTAAGTTTAAAAAACACTTTTATACAATTTGCATTTGTCCGAAATTGCATATGGGTTTCTTATGTGTAAGGTTGATTGCCATGTGGCTCCTATCGATAACCTCATCCCCTGCCTAAGCCGATTACTATCACTGTAAGTTGGGCTTTGTTTACATTGAAAAGATTATAGTCTACTCGCTGCAAGAGCAATAAAATTCATGTGTGCTTACATCGAAAAACAAGTCATCAACGCATGAAGAGACCCAGCAAGGTCTAAATTTATCATTTACTACCGCAGAAGAAGAGCATTAAGTCTTATCTGAGATACAAATAAGAGCCGTTGGTGAATCTTGTAACCGGACCGGGGTTAAATCACAATAGTTCGAGGAGATTGATAAAAAGCATTTTTCCAAGAAGCACTGTCAACCTTCGCGTCGAACGGGATACCGTAAGACGACAACTATTGATTTGTTGACCGAAATCCTAAAATAATCGTGACCGGTGTAGTTTCCAAATTGATCAATTTTATAACGGGGTAGCCCGTTTCACGCTATTGACACCGTTTGGTGTCAATAGGAAGATTGTCTAGCGTGACCTTCTTCTGCCAATATTTTCCGAGATGGATAATATTGAAAAAATATTATCCCTTTTTTAGATAATAAACATGCGCCGCTCTAAGATTTGTTGATAAAAGACATCTCAGCCACAGATTCCCACCAATCGCTGCCAGGCGCGCGTAATAAGCGGTGAGCAGGTTGTCGTCATACGACAACGTAGCTTAATATAG